GGAAAAAATCAGTGTAAGATATGTTTTTCCAACTTGAGATCTGTGTGCTTCTGTAGCAGAGAGGGAGGGTCTAAACACTCCTAAAAGCTGGCTGATAAAACCTGGTCCTCGTTTGAGCTAGAAACTGCAGAACATAACAATTTATACTATGCATTGGGAATTTCTGGTGCTGGGGTGGGGAAAAAAATGCATTTACTGGAAATAGTTTGACAAAATTCAGTGTTTGTAACGCGTGTAACAGCGCTGCTACTGTAAGGCACCACAATTTTCATAATCTTAAATTTGCTCGTTTGTACCAAGTTTCCAAATAACTTCCTCCTCTCTGTCTCTGCCGTTGAATTTTCTCGTGCATGGTACGAGGGATGGGATGCTGAAAATCCCTGGATCTTTGACGTTTTAAGACAGACTTGTGTGGATGTTCACTGCCTGCTTGGTGACACATGGAATGTTTATTGAGCCTGTGCAGTGAAGTGCTGCTGAAGCAACTGGGTCTGTAGTGGAGGAGATGAGAAATTTTAATCCCTAACTGGCATTTTGCAGAGGCAGCTCAAGACTGTGAGGCTGAGATTTTGGATCTCTTAGTGGTAGTTGTTTATTGGTAGTAACTCCAGATCCTGATTAATTGGGATTTCAGCTAATTTTGCCAGCTAAACATGACCTGGTCTAGTGGAAAGTGTTCCTCCCCATTTCAGGGGTAAGAAATACAGAATCTTGGAGGTCCCTTCCAACCCATCCATTTATGATTCTGTGATTTCTCCAGAAGATGCTTAAAAGAAATACAGGGGATATACAGGGACTTGAAGGTTTACAGTATCTAGAATAAAATCACAAGAGAAAAGGGAAAACAAAGCTGTGAGTCAGATTGATTATTGAAGATAAGTCGTTGGAAAAGCAGATACAAGGATACAATTTAAAATCAATGTAAAAGCACATTGGAAGCACAGAATGGTTTGGGTTGGAAAAGACCTTAAAGACCATCTTGATCCACCCCTGTTCCATGGGCAGGGACACCTTCCACTATCCCAGGTTGCTCCAAGCCCTTTCCAGCCTGGCCTTGAAAACACTTCCAGGGCTGGGGCAGCCACAGCTTCTCTGGGTAACAGTTAGGTAGGGCTTATGTGAAAATCTAAGGTACAGAAAGATGGATAAGCAGCATTGCTAAGGAACATGAAAAAAACCTTGTGAGTACATTGGAAATTGGAGGAAGTTGAGGGAAAATGCAGGTCTCCTTAGCAGAGTGAAGATAATAAATCAGAGATACCCCACTGAATAAAACTGCTGAGTGTAACTATGTTTAATCATGGATCTTCTAAAGGAACCAAAATCCCTTTGGACTTGCTGTGGGAATAATTTTGGTAATTAACAGGTTTCATTTGAAAACAGTGAATTGTGATTTTTCCCATCTGAGACCGGTGCAGACTCTGGCATTCTACTGGAAAAACAGGTGTGGGCAGTGTGTGTGGGCAGGCTGACTGAGCAGCTTGGATGCCAAATTTTTTAAAACACTGATAGTTTAGAAATTAGGAATTCACAAGTGTTTAAGTAAGTATATTTGTTGCAGTGGATTGGACAATTTAGGTAAGACCAAATTGCTTCATCTCACCCAAACAGGCTGCGTAGCAAAAAGAATAATGTATGGAGAGATGTGGAGAGTAAAGTTGTAGTCTGAAACAAACCTGCTGTTTCCTAGATAAATCTGGTTTGTAAACCCAAGTTTTATTTCATAGAGATGTTAAAATTAAGTTTTCTCTTCTAGTAAAAGCACAGACCTGTTTCAAGAAAGGATTCTAAACCAAGAAGGGGAGGGTACAAATGTTTCCAGTACTGGGATACGGAAGCGTTTTTTGAATTTGTGGCCAGCAATATGGCAGAAATTGCCAAGACCTGGGTTTGAAAGTACACAGACAGTAACCATAAAACCTAAAAAAGATGATTTTTTTTGTGGTTTATGACCTTGTTGCTCTCCCACAGAGTGGGAGAGAAAGGCCTCTCACCCCAGGTACTTGGGCACATGAATAAGGAAGGCTGAGTTCACCCTGTAGGTTTGCTGGTTTATATGGAATCATGGAGTTCTTTGGGTTGGAAAAGATCTTCAGGGTCACTTAAATCCATCCCTCAGCTTACCAGCACCATCATGTTCACCACCACACGATGTCCTCAACTGGCTATATCCTTTTTTTTTTTTTTTTTGAACACTTACAGGGCTACCACCGCTGCCTTGGGCAGCCTGTTCCAGTGCTTGACCACTCTTCCTGTGAACAAATCCTGTCTAATATCTAACGTTACCCTCCCCTGGCACAACTTGAGGCCATTTCCTAAAATGAAAGGTTCAGTTAATAGGACATTTTAACAACAACAGCAGCAACAAAATGACGCAGTCCATTCCATAGCCTTTGTGCAAACCTGATGTTCCCTAGGTGCTGCATGCTCAAATGGAATGATGTATTTCCTTTTAAGAGCAGGAGATCCAATTTCTGTGCCATTTGATGGGTTAGGTTTGGTTGCTGGCTGCTTATCAAACATTGAGAGCACTGCAGAGAGGGAAGTAGGGGAAGAAAAAAACCCAAAAAAGTAGTAGCAGAAGATGTTTTGGCAGTTAAATACTTCTCTTGTAGAAGAGTTGTTTCCAGGACGACAAGGTTGATGAAGTTACAAAGTTGAGTGTGTGTTTTCTTTCCTCTTCAACTGGTTAATCAGTGAGGTAGGAAAACTTGCTTTGTAGGTGAGTTGGGTTACATAATTTATTTTTAGTCTGCACTTGATGGTCCATGTGGCTCTTTTCAGCTCTTCAGGAGATACCTGGCATGCAAGAAACCACATTTGCTTTGTGGGTTTTTTTAAGGTCATACGGTATTTTTTAAAATCTAGACTATTAACAGCTCTTTTTGGTATTTTTTATGTGTTTGTTTCTCAAGAAGTAAAACAGCTTTGTTGCTTCAAGTTTCAAGCTCATCTCACTGGTGGGATGTGAGTTTCTTTCACTGTTTGCACAGAATTTTTCCTCTGTTGGTATAATACATATTTTTTTTGTATATACTAATGATATACTGTCATGCAAATGAATTTGGAATAAATTAAAGTATTAATTTTCTCCCAGAGTATATTCAGCTGCAGGACTCCATTGTGAGATCTATTTTCAACTGGAGTTTGGAACTTGGAATAAGGCAGCACTGAATTAAATGTAGTTGCCAATTTTAAAGGGGCACAGCTCGCATAAAATCACACCCATCTCCAAAATATGTTGATCTATTTAAAATCTGGAGGAGTATGATGAAATCTGTACTTGTGTGGTTTTCCTTTGTATATTTGATTGTACTCTGAGTTTAATTTTTTTTATTGTTTTTTTTTCCCTGCACAACAACGATTTAAAAAAGAAATGCCTTTTTTTTTTTTTTTTTTTAACCACAAATATTGGCTGTGCATTTTAGAGGCAGAAATAACAAAAATAGTGTCCAGGTCATTAGTGAAAAACACACTCTGTAAAGCTCTATTGTTCTGCTAAATTAAATAGCTTCAAGTTTAACTGTGCCCCTTATAAATGAGTTGATGATTTCATACCCCCTAATGATACATGCTTTTATTTCATATTGAGATTTTAGAATTTAGGATTAAGAGAACACTTATTGTGCATAGTTCTCTGATGAATTAATGAGATACTCAGCTTCTTGCTGCATGTGTTGGGTTCTGCTGGTGCTGAAGGTTGGATGCCATGTGCTAAGACCTGGTGATCACTTGAGAAAAATGAAGTTTTATTCTCCAAATCCTTGATCCTTTATTGTTTTGGGAGAATGATATGGCATAAAAGTGGCCATGCTCAGGTGATCCTGGTGATCACTGAATTATTATGTATCCCGGGGCTTCTCAACTTCTTGGAAAGGGAAGGGAAGGGAAGTAGTTTGACAAATCCATGCTGGCATTTATTTGTTGCTTTGTTATCCCTTCCTGGCAGCAAACCATAGCCAAAGTCAGGATTCTTTCTGACTGGTGTCCTTCTCTTTCCATCTCTTTCTTCTTCTTTTTTTCTTTTTTTTTTTTTTTTTTTTTGTAAATACTTTTTTTTTTTCCCTTGCAAATTACCATTTTCAGCAGAACAAGAACTGCACTGACCTTGAGCGATGAGATGTTCTGGGCTTCATTTTCCACTCTGTCCCCAGTTATTCAGTTACTCCATTATCTGGAGCGATCCAGTTCTTCTTCATGGAGGTTTGAATAGTTCTTCCAGGTCGCCACTTAGCCTAGTAAGGGAATGAGGAATTCTTTTTTGCTACTTCTGCTGGAAGTTTACTAATTATGTGTGGTTAAGTAGAGAATGTAGCATCAGTGCATTCTTTTTCAGGACAATACTCTCATAACTCCACTTAGATTTTTCTGTTTGTTTTTCTGGTTGCTTGCTCTTCTTTTGCTTCAATTCCCAGTAAGGTATTATGGATATAGTTTTTCTATTTCTGTAGATTTGAATCCAAAGCACAGAACAGGACATAAGGAACGACCCTTCCAGTATTCAACTCCCACTGAAGTGTCTTAAGGTGACAGGAACACAGGGGTACCAGGTATGACCCCAAACCAAGAGCAAGTCATCACCCCTCTGAATTAGGTGCTGGAGGCCAACAAGGAACCCTCACAGATCTAAGAAGACACCACAAAGATATCTTTGAGCAATAAAATAATTCTTTAAAAATGTTTATTCACTTTATCTGTGGCTACAAGGAATTTCTTTGGTCAACTCTGCAGTAGGTTTTGGAATTTATTTCTAGTCTGTCAGTGTTATGCTGTAATCACCAAGCAGTCTCCAAGGTTCATCTTGATAGAGCAGTTTCAGGAATACTCTGGCAATCAAAATCAGAGAAACAGTCAAGAAGGATGGAAATATTTTCCAGTGTTGACTAAAAGCAAGCAGTAAGCTTGAAGCATTACTTAACGATGTAATGAGAAATGTCAGTTCAAGCAAATTCTTTTTTTTTTTTTTTTTAACAGAATTTGTTTTCTTTGTTGTGTTGCAGAAAAACAAACGGTGGCTGATTTGCACAAGTGAACCAGGACGACGCAAAATTTAAGTCGAAGAGGAATGCTCATTTTCCTGTTTTGTAAGTCTGTTGGTCAGCTTTTCTGTAAGACATCCATTTAATTATAAAGACCATTAGTTTTCCTCATTTCCTGGTTTGTGAGTGCAGTTTGTAGAACTGTCTGGGTTCCCTGTTTTTGAGCCACCTGGCTCAGCGTGAGGGGCACAAGGTGGATCTTTTCTCTGCCTTTGTCATCACTGTGTCAAGGCACAAAGGAGATCAAGGCTGGGTTGTGTCTAATTACTATTGTAGCTGTGGTGATCCAGGGTTGTGAAGAGGAGAGGTTTGAGGGCAAGAAGGGCTGGAAAGGGATTTTGGCCTCCAAAAGTTGTTAGTGTTGTCTGTAATATCAGCTGGTGTAAAAGCTTGGTCCTTACGTTGAGGCTGCTGTATTTTGGCTGAGTATTTTGGAGTACATTTAAAACATTTACTTGGGTACTGTAAGAGTTCATGGTTTGGTTGGAGCAGCCTGGTCTAGTGGGAGGTTTAGCACAAGAGTTTTTCCATTTTGGTCAAGAGAGCAGCGTGTTCTTCATTGGTATTTTGCATATCAAGCCTTACAGACCATCTTTCTGATTCACTTGTAGTATTCAGTGGCACATTTTAAAGAGAGCTGCTTCCATCTGTCTTTAACAGAGCGTGTTCTGTGTGACAACAACATCTACCCTGCAGTTGTAATAACAAAACCCAAGGTGCTTTTACTGAATCTGGTTTCACACCAGCTACCAAGTGGACTCATTATAAGATGATGTGAGGTTTTCTATGTATTGACTCAACTCTGAAATATCTATAACTCTGCAAAATGCGTCTCAGCTTGTTTACTAAGCGAGAAGTGTATTTTTAATGCATAGGTTTTGAAATTATTAGTGACTCCAGTTTTTCCAGCAGCCTTTGTGGGGTGTTTTAATTAAAACTGTTTTGTATTTTTATGGATGCCATTTTAATTTATAGCTATATCTTTATTTTTTAATTTTTTTCTGTCAGAAAAGTTTTTAAGTAATTCTGCAGAATTGCTTTTTATAGACACTCAGTATTTGAAAAAAAGGGAAAAAAAAGCGACAGAACATGTGTCAGGCATCTGCAATTCCTTCAGCATCATGTTTTCCACAATGATTTAATAGCTATTGAGTCTCCTCAAATATCTTTGTTTCCAAGACCTATTTTATGGTAATAAATCATCTTGGCTGTTAAATTCTTGAAATGATTCAGTAGGACAATCGTTTCCTTAGCACATTCCCTGAGAGATCATAGATAGAAATGGAAAAGTCCTTAACGAGGTCAGCTTTTTCCCTGCAATACTTGTAGTCAGTGCTGGAAGTGATAATGAAGTTGCCAACATTTGTTCTGGTGAACTGCAGTTGTCCAGTGTTCCCTGTTCATTTCTTGCTAATTTACGGTGAGTTTTCTGTTAGAGGTATTGAATTGCATTGAGAAACGCTGAGCCAGATACAGAATAAGAGACTTGTCGTGGTGTGGTGGAACTTTTCATTTTAAAAAAGGTCTGTCTCAAAATTAAAATAAAAATACCAATGAAATTACCCAAGACTTCCTTAATTTCCTCCTCTATTTGCACCTGAGGGTGGTGGTGGTGGTGCAGTCCTTGGGGTAGAGGTTGATTTAATAAATTGTCAGGTATGTGAGGGTGGTTAATTCGTGATACCTTGTCTGTCAGTCTCTGCAGGGTAGTCATGCATTATGTAACCCCTTGTGGCTTTCTGACACCTTGAAAAAAGGCTGTTTAAATTGGTTATTGCTTACTGGGAGCAGGCAAGGAGGTAATTCAGCCAAGAGTACATGAGGAATTCTCTGTATTAAGTAGCTCATCTAGAGCATCACATGTCTAAAGAAAAGGGAGATCTGGTTTTGGTCAAAACTCTGGACATCTGGAGTTCAGGGAAATAACCAGCAGGTGAGAGATGGTATCCCTTGACCTAAAGTGTGTATCTCTGTGAATTACTGCTGGTCTCCTTCTGTGATGTTTTCCAAGTTGACCATCAGATATGGTTGCAGCCTCTATGGTTGCCCAGAGAAGCTGTGTCTGCTCCATCCCTGGAAACGTCCAAGGCCAGGCTGGATGGGGCCTGGGGAAACCTGGGATAGTGGAAAGTCTCCCTGCCCATGGGTGGGGGTTGGAGGAAGATGGTCTTTAAAGTCCTTTCAGTGCCAAGCCTTTTATGATGCTTGAATTGTCCTTTAGGTTTCATGCTGAGGACAGCAGTAAGTTCTGGTGTTATTCACATGAACGTTTCCTGAAAATAATCAGGCTTTGTGATCTGGGGTTCTTGGTTCTCTTTGCTGCCTCAGAAAAGGAAGCAAAGCTTTGCAGCTTCCCCAAGGTTTAGAGCAGATTAATGTATAAAATTAGATTAAATCTCTTACATTTGTTTTGGAAAAGGGAGCTTTGTATTCCTACGGGCCTTAGCTGCCAAACAGAGATAATTCCATTTTAACTGTGCATTTTCATCAGGTGCTTTTACTGCCAGGCATAAACCTTCATTTTTTCAATGATGTCATTTAAAATGATCCAAAATAACTTCAGTTACAGTCACAATGGAGAACAACCCCTGCATTTAAAAGATGGACTCCAAAATTCCGTCTGCCCTGTAGGATCTTGGCAGGAGTGTGCTGTGTCATGGCACTGTATTGATTCCAGTTCATGTCTTACAGAAAAAAAAACCAGTTGTACTATGCACACAGACATATTTAGGGTTGGTAGAAGTATCTTCTGTCACAGCCCTGTTCAAATATTTGGTTGGTTGTGTGAGGCTGGTTGTAAAAGATGATCAGAAGCTCTTTACTGGCTGAGGAAACTCACGTACCTTCCACACAGTGGCTTTGTCATTCGTGTTTGTCACTTATACCTGTGAAGTGAGGGCACTGGGGCTGCTTCAGATCTCAGGCACAACAATAACTATTAATATTTTAGCTCTTCATCAGTAAAAGCCCAATATCTGACCCCAGGAGGAGCTCACTCCTGCCTCATCTCTGAGCAGGTAGGTGTCTTAGAGCATATTCCCCTTTACTCTGAATGAGAAGGAGGGTTTGAAAAGAAAATTACAGACAGCAAAGGTAAAGAAAGCCATTTTCCTCTTCAGGTGTCCCTTTTCTTCTGAGAAGGTCCATGGGCATGGATGGCATGAAAGGAGACAAACCCTGAAGAGGTCAGTGAGGGGAGTAGCCATTCACACAGTGGGTATTCAAAGAGAAACTCTCCATTTGACAATGCTGTCCTCTAGATGGCTTAGAAACATAAGAACACAAGTTGGTTTTAAAAGAGAGCTTTTAATTTATGTCAGATGTGAAAGTACCTGCAAGTTTTATGTGCACTCTGCAAAAAAAAGAGGAGCTTGCTGAGTTCTTAGATTTCCTTTTTGTGCCTTGTCCCTGTGGTGAGGTGGCCCCACAGAGAAAACTCTGGCACCTGCATGGACACTGAGAACCTTTTATGTGTCTTTTGTGGGAGCAGTCCTTGTGCCACACGAGCTGTGTGCTGGAGTGATCTGTGTTACTGCACTTCATGGGGCTAAAGGATGGTTTGTCAGTGTTTTGGATAATTGCCTCATCTCTGCCTGCAGTGAAGTGTATCTGCATCTGAACAGATAATACATAAAATGCATTTTACATTATATTAGTGCAGGAAATAGAAGCATTATAAATATAGATATTTAGTAGCATCTTAGCGATTTCAATTTTCGTAGTTTCCAAGCAGTGTTTCCTCTCTTCATAGGATGGAGTGCTGCTTCAAATCTGTATTCAGTGTGCCCATATGAAAAGAAATTTGGCTTTAGATAAAAATTTAGGACTTTCTTCTTTTTTCCTGTTTTCTTGGCTCTGAAATACTAATTCCTTTTATATTGTATGTGTACAGAGGAGGAGATAATGGGTGAGATACCACATCAGGAAAAAAGAAAGTCTAAGCAGCCCAGGATTAACACTTAAATCTTTGTGGAAAACCTTGCTGGAGTGCAAAATGGATTTAGGTTTTTAAAATGAAAGAATGGTAGGACACAGAGATGGAGCCTGGAGATCTGTGTGTTGTTTGTGCTTCTCATCTGTTGCATAAGCTTGGACAAGCTGCTTTGCATTTTCCTGCTTCATTTCTCCTGTCAGAGATCTGTGTGTTTCACTTGCTGTTGGTAAAGCACTTCAAAATCCTGAATTAGTATTAGCATGGACTTCTCTGAGCTTACTTAAAATCCATTTCCTCCTCACTTACTCTTTCCTAAGGACAAGAATAAATAGAAATTTCTTTTTTTTCCCAAATGCTATGGATCGACTGATACTCTGCAGCTGCTCAAGGCCAGATTTAACTGCTCCTGTGTGCTGTCTGAGCATCCACTGAGCAGCTCCAAATCCAGAGTCCTGTTGGGTACATTGTGTTCCTAATTCTCTTAGGGACATAGTCTGTCAAGAGGTGTTTCCTTCTTCATTGTATTCAGCAGCTTAGATTTTCCAAACCTCCTGGTGTAACAGACCTTCACAGGCTGATCTTCCACAGAAATCAGCCAGAGCCTGGAGCACTGTGTGTGCGTGGCTGACCTGGGTGATGCTGCAAACTCAGTTTGGACCCCCCAGAAGCACTGCCAGGGTATCAATGCTCTCTGCAGCATCCTCAGGTGTGTGGCCTAGCACTTCTAACCTGAGCACCTCCTGGTCCTCAGAAGTGCAGGAGTGATGTTCCTGTGTCAAACTGGGGCACAGCGAGCGTGAACCTCAGTGCAGGGAGACGTTCTGGTCCTCAGGCGCTGCTGCTGCAAATACGTGGGGTGAATTCAAGCAGGAATTAGAGGGTGTGGATGCAGTGGTTAACCAGGAAAGCGCATCGATCCTGCTCAGCCAAGTGTTCCAGAAATTCAGTTTGTGGAGTGTTAAATCGCTGCCGTTAGAAGAAGCCCCTCTCCAGTGAAACATCCCTGCTCAGAAGCAGCTGCCACACTGCTGGGCAGCTCTGCCTGCTCCATTTAAAACGTTACCAGCATCCTGGCAAGGATCCCAGGGACGGGGCTGAGGAAGTGGATGGT